GAGCTGTGCGAAATCTTTGAAGTCGTGACTCTATATGACTGCTAAGTGTCAACTACTAGAAGCATATCATAGCCATCTTCTATCTAGTTATCATAGATTATACAAAAATTTCCCATGACAACCCCTATCCCAACTCCAGATGCGTTCACCTTATCAAGCCAAAAGGTAGGGCGAACTCCATTACCGACGCCCTCTTGTGCAAGGACACACAAGTTGCAAATAAATATCGTACCTGAAATAATTAGAGAGAAAACAGATACACCGGAACCACCACCTCATACCCATTAATTCAACAAATTTCACCTGTACCGCTACTACTTCTTCAACCGTGCCATCACTTTCCCGACAGCTTGTCTAACCACACTTCCGGCTTTCTCAACTTCTTTCTTGGTATGGCCAATGGTTATGCAAGCCTTGAAGGATGGTACACATCTCCAGCCGAAAGGCTTAGTGCCTTGAGTTTCATAGATGTGCTTGACACGTGAGATCATGACACTATTTGCGAGAGCCTGTAGAGTATTTTATTAGTTCAACGGACCAGTGAAAGATCGAGGCTAATCCAATAACGGGAAAAACAAACCTCATCAACAATGTCCATCAAGATCTTTTCTTCATTACCAAATATCCTTCCCTCAAGGCCATCTCGCTTGAGGATGAACATGCAGACTGGATTATCCAAAGAACTAGTACACTCGACATATTCACATCTATCCATCTGATTTCTAAAGGCTTTAATGTTCTCTCTCAACGCCGTTAAAACCTGAGGATTTCCCTCGAGCAGCTTGAGGGTCTCCGATGTAGTAACGGCGAGCATAGCTGGAAGAGCGGCAGAAAATACATAAGCGGAGCTTGAAATACGTTGGTGATCAACGACTTCTGGACTTCCCGCACAGAACCCCCCACCAGAACAGATACCATGAGCGAGCGAGCCGACGAGCATCTCCACAGACTGAGGGTCAACATTCTGATGTTCAGTGACACCACGCCCGGTACGGCCGAGGACACCAAAGGAGTAAGATTCATCGAGGATTAGACGGTACTTGTAACGCTGCTTGAGTTCAATCTACATTGCCGCGATACATTGATTAGTACCGTCTCACTTTATGAAACCACAATGGCAGAGGTTAACTCACGATGGCCGGCAGATCAACGATATCACCAGTGTTCTCAAATAGCCCCTCTGTAACAATAAACCTTCTTGTCAAAGGCTTTCTAGCCATATCCCTCTTGACTTGTTCGAGCACCCTCCCCAGGTCCTCCATGTCGTTGTGCTCATACCACCTAATAGTGCTTCGAGAGATTTGTAGTCCTTTCTGAATTGCAAAGTTGACTGCCTTGTCGGCAACGATGATATCGCCACGTTTGGAAAAAGCCGGAATGACAGAAGAGATCGTAGAGAATGCTTGTGCATAAATAATGCATGCTGGCATACCAAGGAATTTAGCAATGTCCCGTTCCGTGTCCATGTGAACATCCTGAGTTCCATAGAAATTTGGAGGACCACAAGCACCGACACCGTAGTTGCGGAGAACCTGGACGGCACGGTCTTTCAAAAGCTCATTGGAAACAAAGTTGAAGAAGTTATAAGAGGCGAAATTATTGACGGTACGGCCGTTAGAAAGTTTGACCTTGGGGCCTGTGGGTCTAGTGGCCGGACACATGGTTAGTGAAGCCATGATGGCTATTCCGGGATATAAAAACAAACCCAACAATTACCGGGCGCTTCTCATTCTCAGCTTGTTCAACCTCCGTAAGGCCTGGTACAAGTGGTTCGGGGGTCCAATCCTCAACAAGTTCGTCAATCTCCTATCCGTACGTCGGATTAGCCTAGGTGCAACAATACGGAATTCCTCCCCATTGTTAGGAGGAGAGGGGGCTCTTTTACTTACATCCTCCGTGAGCTCAACAGCCCCCTTCTGGGTGGTCGAATATCGAGGAGCTAGGAGGTACCTAACTGCGAAGAGAAACAAACACAACTCAACAACACTGCGAACAGGATCGTTTTGGTATGAGCTTTTGATGTAGCGTAAGAGAATTTGTGAGCCGGGAACACGCTGAAACCGAGTAGACAGCTCCCCGGCTGACCAGTTGAGAAGAACATATGCGTCGTGAAGATCCATTGTATCGTACACCGAAGCGGTGGTGTTGAGAGTTCAAATGCTCGGGAGAAAGGAGACAAGACAAAACGTGAATGGTTCGGCGAGTTGGATTCCCGAGAACTACTGAGGCTCAAAAAGTAAACAAAAATCCTTATTCACCGGGTTACCCGGCTTAGAGGTTCGACGACGAGCTCAAGATCCGCAACCGTTTACCAGGACCAATACGGGAGGGGGGTAGCCTGTACCGTTCCGGTATGTATCAGCCTATCACACTCGTAATGGATTCCTAGGATTAACAAAGCTCTATGAGCCTCTATCTACCAATAAACCCCAAACGCCCCACTCTTTACCTTACCCCCCACTTATCATACAGTCTCCAACGGGGGCACGATGAATACGGTACCGGCCCGTGACAAATTGGGATCGGCCACAGGTATTTTTTTCGTTACCCGTATCATACCCTACTTTGAAGAATCCACTTTTTTGCCTCCCAAGCCACCCGTCACTACCGGTATTGTGCCCCCCCGTTGGAGACTGTGCAGTACCCTCTATACAGAGTTCTTTTTGGACCACGGTAATCTGATCACCCAAAATCACTCACGATCGGAAACCGAGCACCCCCCTCGGACGCGAAGAAATATTTTACTTGAAGAACGGTGTATCATACTCGAGATATAGCGGTAAAATCTCATCTACTTATCCCTCCTATGGGATTCACTAGGTTCTACAGCCACTGTCATCAGTGGGCTAGCTCGGAGGCATAGGTGCAGAGGCAGGGTTAGGGGTTCGCGACAAAGCCACGAACACAGGTCATGTATGAATGAATATTATGATCTATGATACAATGCCTCTTTTTTTCGGGCCATGTTTCCAATATTCTATCGATGCCAGCGGTTATTTATTTATTTATTGGTTTATTTATTTGAAGGATACAAACGTGCGGCTACTCTCAGAGCAAGAATTGTCATGATAATGGCGGCCGCAAGGCTCTGGTGAGGGAGCCTAGAAAGTCTAGATTACTATTGATATTCCATTTCGCAAAGACAAACAAGTGAAGTTCAAGACAAGACAGAGAAGTATCTGCCAATCAACCATCGTAACGGTATCTAAATGGTATTACTAGAGGACCTTTATTGAAGACAGACAATTGTGGGGGCAGTGGAACGCGAATGAAAGTAGCGGTAGCCATGCAGTGAGCAAGGAAATGGGGTGTCCTGTCCTCGGCGGAGGAGAGGTCTGTGAACTCTTAGAAATTTATGTGAAGTAGCTAATACGAAAATTGGCGGTTTTTTCTATTCAGAACACCCATCTCTCCTACGAGAAGTCATCCAATGCCAATGCGGTTGGTATCACAAGAGCGAAATAGAAAATCTCAAATTTCGCCTAATGTACATTTGCGCCCTTCTGCTCTAATTACTGCAACCCTTTCCATCCTCGGGCAGCGTGGGGGGTGACAGGGGGCATCTAACAAGCGATGATCGTAGTAGTTGGCATGCGAGAGCGCGAGCAGAAATGAAGGGACTATGCTCGAGCAAAATTTCGGGAGGGAGCGAAAATCTAACCACGGCCGATCCTGGTGCGCTCCTGTGGGTTGTATCTGAGTAGTTATGGAGCGTTAACAAGTGCCACTCCTTTGCAGAATTTAGGGAGCCTACCGCAAGAGCTTCTCAATGAGGTCTACGTGAGTCATCAACATTCTCCTACAGCAGTAGCGCTTGCACCCAAGTTGGTCCATAGCATCACTGTAGAAAGCGGGTCAGGTTTGTTCGTATAGATTGAGAGACGGCGCATATACCCTTCCGCAACACCATCTTCAAGAAGCTTGAGGTACCGCTCCCAGAGATCACCGACAACCTGGGTAAATCATGCATTAAATCAGGCCTACCGATAGGAAGAAATTTAAGGGTATCCAAACCTTACCACATGAGAAACAGCGAATCGGGATGATCATTTTGTGGAGGTAGTGAAGGGTGTTTGGTGATAGAAACCGGAGGTGGTAAGAAAGTAGATGGAGAAGGAGGGATGCAACTAGTCAAGAACTAGAAAGGTCTAATGAAAAGGGACTACTGGTAGATTGAAACCCGATGGCCGCCAAGATTTCGTTGCAGCCGCAACCCCGGACCACTTTGCATGATCGAAGAAAAAATATTTTTTTAAAAAAATGGATGTAGCCAGCATCCAGCGATAAAGCTTCGGGACCATTTTCAACCCACTACCACTTCCCCACTATTCGAGAGAACAGCCCATTTGACCGCCATCACCATGTCTTCTGCGAGGGCCCCCGGGGCGGTGAAGGAAATTGAAAAGCCCAGTGGGCCTATGGGAAAAAAGATTTCCGAGATTTCTACGCAAGAACCCGATGCGAATCCCGATGCCCTTGCAACTCTAACGGAGGGGGGAGCCGAGCGCAAGAGGAGGAGGGGTAGGGATAGGACAAGGCGTAGGAGGGAGGATAGACATGCCATTCGAGAAGGATTGGCTGAAACGGAGGGTGCTAGGTTAGGAGAAGTTAAAGAGATTTTAAAGGAAGATCGAATTGTCAGGGTCGCTGTTAGTAGACAGCCAAATGAACTACAAACTCCAAAGAAAAAGGATTCTGGGGAGTCGAAAGCCGCCGCCTATAATACTGTAGCTTCGGCCGAAGGCAATGGGGGTTCTGGCGTTTCTGGTTGGAGGATGTCGTCTGCCTTGGGAGGAAGGTTCCTTCCTTTGGACATGGTGTTTTCGCAGGATGAGAAGTAAAGTATTCTCAATGCTACTCTCGGGGGATAAATGCTAATTGATTTATTGTAGATTCTTTCTATTGGCGCATAGTTGCTCTCTCAGAATATATTCTACAAAGACCTCACTACAAGTTCGCGAGTTCAACTTAGACGGCAAACCCTCCGAAGTAATCACGTCCTTCAAGTTGGACCCACTGGATTCAAGCAAAGTATATATAGGCACTTCTGCCTCCAAAATTTTCTTTGTGGATTGGACAACTGGAAAGCTCGTCAAATCATGGCAATTGAATAACATCCGTACGATTCAGCGTCTCGCTATTTGTATGGATGAAAAGAGGGAAGATGACACTACGTACGGAATTCTTTACGTCAGCGGCCCTAGATCTAAAAACTCGTCTATTATGATCCAACGGATTAAACTGTCACCATCAGTAGCGCCAATCGAAGATATGGTCTATGTAGCCCCGAAACCTTCCCCGATAGGATGTATGCAAGTCCTCGATCAGGGAAATATTGTTACTGCGATAGCGGGTAACGCCTTGATAATAGGAAATAGGAATACGGAGGAGGGTTCATCCGATAAGAAACCTTGGGGAGTTTTTCGCCACTACCCGATGTCATTCCATCTAGCTTGTATGGATACCTACCTCCACAGTGAGCCTGATACCAAAAAACATAAGGGGGGGAGGTCCAACAGGGAGAGCGGGCGTGAGGCAGATCGGTCGGGAGATGTTGTGGTTGGCGATAACCAGGGTGCCTTGCATTTGTTTCATAATGTGCTGAGAGTGAAAGGTTTACCAAAGGAATCACCAGTAATCAGCAAAATGCACTGGCATAGACATAGAGTTCAGGCCGTCAAATGGGCCCTAGATGGTAACGTCATATCATCCATCTAACACTAGTTCGACTTTCTAACTTCTTGATAGGAAAATATATAATCTCTGGCGGTTCGGAAACAGTCCTGGTCATCTGGCAGCTGGGAACAGGTTCCAAACAATTCCTGCCGCATTTGGGAGCAACAATTCACAACATTACAATTTCTCCCAAAGGTTCCTCTTATGGCGTCGGCTTTGCCGACAATTCCGTTATGGTTCTTTCGACGACAGAGTTCAAGCCTACATCAAGTGTCACCGGTATTCAGTCTCGAGTATTCCATCTTGAGAAAGGCACTGAATACCCAAAATTTACCTGTGTTATGCACCCAACATTACCAAACCGTCTGCTGCTGGCATCTCCCTCCTCACAGACCGACCTCTATTCTTCCGCATCTTCTCTTCAAACATTCGATATCTCCTCCAATAGGCAAATCCATCGACAGGCGTTGACTAAGAATAACATAACGAGTGTCAACCAAGGCCCCGATGAGTATAAAATTAAGGAGCCAGATCTACCGCACTTGGCTATCACCAAGGATGGCAAATGGTTAGCTTCGATCGACGAATGGAAACCTCCAAAGAAAAGGTCTTTCTGTTCAAGCGAGGATGGCCGTTCTTCGCAGGAGGGTGATAGAGATCAGAGTGAAGTATCTCTGAGGTTTTGGAAATGGAGTGAGAAATCTCTATCATGGGAATTGGCCACCATCATCAAATCTCCGCATCCTTCATCTAGTGGCACGGGACCTGAAGAAGTCCTAGATCTAGTTGCTGCGCCGAAGACCCACTTATTCGCGACTCTGGCTGGGGACGGAAGTATCCGGCTCTGGAAGCCAAAGGTGCGAGCAAGTGACGGCGCTAGGTTACGAGGGGAGGATAGCGAAATAACTGTCTGGTCCTGCCGAAAAGTCGTCAAATTCTCCAAAGGCAAAAGAGAGCAACAAGTCCTGGCACAAAACCTCCTCGGAGGCGTGAGCCTACAAAAGGCCTGGTGGGGCAGCGCCGCCTTCTCAGAAGACAACTCAGTAATCGCCGCGGCGGTCCCCAATTCTCTCGGCGACGACTCAGCAATATACCTTACTGACCCATCGTCAGGCACGATCGCGCACTTCCTCAGCGGTCTGCGAGTGGGTAAGACTGCGGGGATCGCAATCCTGGAACGCTTTCTCATCATCCTCGGTACATCGAAGTTACTCGTGTGGAACATGGTCAATGGGACCGTGCAATGGGAATTCAATCTCAAGACCTTATCATCCGTCGACAGCCCGGTTACTCATCTAGCGGTAGACTACGTCAGCCAAACCTTTGCCATCACAGCCTCCCAGCGCGACGCCCAATCCCCGAAAATTTTTATTTTTGAAGCGCCCCACCCGACACCAGTTCACATCCAGAACTTCGAATACGGGTACCAGATCATGGCGCTCATAGCAACGGATACAGGAAAGGGCTACGTCACGCTGGATAACCAAGCCAGGGTCCGCTGTCTATCCCCCATCCTCGCCGGGCCAGTTCAACGCATCCCAGCCGAGGACGGGGAGGAGGAATCACTACTAGTCGCAGAAGAAGACGAACCCAAAATTGGTACACTTTCGGGCGCATACTTATCTACCACCGCCCATACCACGAGCGCGGAAGATCGCATGGACTTGGACTGCGTCAAAAACGACGGCGTCGTAGATCATGTCGTTTCTCGCGAAGCACTGGAGGATATCCTAGACTCTACACCTTCCTACGCCATCGGTTCACTTGACTATATATTCGACCAGGTTCTTCAGCTGTTCGCGAAGGCGCCGCTGCTGAATGATGGCGATGATCGCTATGACTGTGAAGGGGTGGAGGAGGGTGGGCTTGATAATGGGAGTGGGAATGAGGAAGACGATAATGAGGAGGATGCGATGGAGGAGTAGTAGAAGTAACCCGGAGTTTTTTTCTTCTATTTTTCTTTGTAAGATGCTCAGGTTCAATATCTTCTTTGTATTCGCTAGTTGGGGGGTAAGAATAATGCAGTCCGAAAGTTTTCCTCTTTCTGGGGAGGAGAGGTGATTTTTCATATTGTTTTATTTTGAGCGAAGTTTAAGCTAGACTAGAATGGGTGTATGGCATATGAGTTTGGATTTACTGCGTACCTACCTTGAGTCTTTGCCGTTCTTGATGGACTCGCCGTAGTCAAACCTTCCCTAACATCGACCTAACCCGACGAGTGAGGGGTCATGATGTCACTAGTGACTTGATACATTCACCTAGCGTGCACCTCAATTACTTGCCAATCGAATTTTAATATTTAACAAATGCTTTTGTCCTCAGCCTATCTCACAAATGGCTAATATAATACAAGTGTCCCCTATTGACACCACCCACTCGCCCCATAACACTAGTCTCAATCATCGAGCATATGAGCATAGTCCTCAGCACTTGCAAACGTCGGCAAGTGCTTCAACTTGCGCCTCTTCTTCTTATTCTCTCCTTCCACCGCCGCATCCTCCTCTTCGTACCTCCCTGTCGCGGTTTTCAACTCTGCTTTCAACGCTTTTTGGAAGTTCTGCGGTGCTTGCTTCTCGTCGTCTTCGTCTTCATCTTCATCTTCACCTCCCCAGACATCATCTTCATCCTCCACAAGATCTGGCATTCCCTCATCGCCATCATCCGAGATATCAGACAATTCCGCGGTGCTATCTTCGTCATCAAAGTCTGCATCCCCCTCTTCGATATCCGGCCGACTATGCACCATAGCCTTCCAAATTTCACTCTCATCTTCGGAAACCTCCACGTCACCTTCGCCCTCTTCACTCCCCCTAGCCTTCTTCGCTTTCCTCTCGGCAGCAGGCTTTTTTGGCGCGATCTGGTTGAAGTATTTGTGGAAGAATACCTCGTTGACGTCCACGTCCTCGACCTTACGCTTCCAGAAGGCTTCTGAGTTGACGGGGATTTGAGATTTGCTGACGCCCCGGGTAGAGAGGATTACACCTCTCGTGTCACCGCCACCGAGAGGTTGCATGATTGAGGGGCCGCGGTTCTGGGTGGGGGTTGCCTTTGCGTTCCTGTAGACGAAGCGGTCAAGGAAGTGTGCTAGGGTGTGCATGCCTAAGTCGGGTTTGCTGGGCATGGGCTTGTGCTCTAGGAAGCTGGCGGCGAATAGGGCTACTGAGGGGTGGTAGCAACGGAGAAGGGGCATCTATGGTTTTGGTTAATGATGATCTACGGCTTTGATGCGCGGGGGACAATCTTACCAGTTCCCAAAGACAAGTCCTGTCGGCATTTGTAAACAATGGATCCCTTCTCCTTCCATCGTATTCCACGTGTTTTACTGGAGATTCTTTTGTGGTATCTTCTGCTTGCTCTTCTCCTTCTTCAGGAACATCCTTGAAAACCTCATCTTCATCATCTTCTAGCTGCTCGGGTTCTTCTAGCAGAGAGCGGCTAGAGGGTACACTATCGCATAGCTCATTGAGCAGATACAGAACGCCGCAGATGAAAGGAGGTTGGTGGAACGTTGCAGCAATCTGAATCAATCGCTTCACGAACGCCTTAACACGTTTTACCTGGGCATCCGCTTTGAGTGCCCTAAATAGCAGATTCAAATACATGGCCTGTTTTGAAGAATCTACAAGTCGCTGGTCCAAAAGCGACTCATAAAGTGTCCTATAAAATCTATCCGAAACAGCCTTTACAGTGTTAGATTAAGATGACCTTGAGGAATCGGAGGACGATACCTGTTTGCTATTTGAAACCTGGAAAATCAACATCATAGCCTGGATACTAGTATTGAAGTTTCCAGAATGCGTAATCTTGAACAGCGTATCTACGTGTTTCTCGAACACATCGTTGTCCACTTGGGAGAATGGGAATGCACGGTTTACACCAGTCAGTATTGCAGATAATAATTTTGCGATCAGATCTGATAGGAATTGCTTGCTCTTTTCCTCTACCTTAGCGCGTGCCTTGGCTTTGCGGTTCATCTTGCTTCCTTTTGGAGGTGACTTGACGGCGTCGTTGAAATTTATGTGCTTTGTGCCCCCTGAGGAGGTGGCAGTTGCAGATTCGCCTTGGAGAAGAGATGTGAATGTAGCGAAGTACACCCCAAGGAGTTTGTTCGCAGCTTCATGGTTGTCTCTAGTCGACAGAATTGTTTGGTTAAGGGTGATTACGGCGTAATATTTGGCATTAAGTCCATTTCCGGGGCGAAATAAAACCTCCGATTCAATAGCGTTAACAATAATAATTCTCATAGCAGGGTGGGTCGTCTGCAATTGGAGCAGCAAATATGAAACTTTGGAGGCAACTTTTTTGTCAGAATCACCCTGTTCCGCAAGATTAGCTAATAGATCCATAGTAGGTATGATATTTCCGCCAACCCACCAATTTATTAACTAATAGCCTAAGCAGGTTGGCCTCTTGCTCGGGCTTAGAACTCAAAAGTGAGTGAATGAATCCAACCGCATTTATCCTTGGGAACACCAACGGGTCGGTGCAAAGTCCCTCAAGGGTTGTCAAAGCCTCAAAATAAAAGTTCTTGAGCCAGTCCTCGTAAGCCCAGAGGATTAGATGCTCTTCAGTTGCCTCCCTAGCTCCTATTTCGGGCTGTTTTGAAAAGAATCTTAATTTCCTATTCCCGGGCAAAACTGATCCAGGACCGAATAAATCTTTAATCGCGGCCATTGAAGATACAGCCTGGCTACGAGACTTTTTGCGAGCTAAGCCTAGAAGAGTCTCGAGCGACTTAATGGTATGGAGAGGGGACTCTTGACATATCAAAGTTAGTGCAGATATCTTGTCTGAGAGTGTTCCTGATGTCATAATCGTGCTTAAAAACTGGCGATCGGAGGATTTGGTGAGATGAGTGGCTGAGTAAACGGCATTCTCGGTCTGTAGAAGTGACTTTGCGTGTTCATGAAGGGATCTAATAGTTGCTGCTTTTGGCGCCGCCTTTGGGGAAGCTAGGGGGGGTAATTTATAGGCATGCCAGTCAGGGCGAGGTGCCACTTTCTTGGGGCGAAAAATCAGCACAAAGCACAGAAAATATAGGCTCTGCAATTCGGGAAAATATCAACTTACCAATTTACTACCCTTTAGCTTTGGATCCGGTTTAGTCTCCAAAGGTTTAACAGTAGGAGCAGGTACCCTTGGTTCCTCTTCAGCATCATCCATACCTCCATCTTCGCTCTCGTCCTCGGTTTCGGCATCTTCACCCCCCTCACCACTATCCTCGTCGACCCATTCCTCATCTTCGTCCTCATACCCATCCTCCGCAGTTGAAAACTTTCCGGCCCCCAACCCAATTTCCTTAAGAAAGCCCTGTAGTTCTTTTTGTAGCCGCTTGCCGGATTTGCCGGACTCAGTGAAGACAACTTCTTCCTCATCCTCATCAGAGTCTATCCCATCAACAAGATCAAGGTCCTCCTGAGTACCGCCAAGCTCAATTATTTCTTTCAACAAGCGCTCTTTGTCAATTCCTCCCTTTTTCCCCGGCTTCCTAGGAAGGCCGTCTTTGGTTTTACTTGCCGGCTGAGGAGGCTTTGGGTTGGGTTTTCCGGCTTGCGCTAGTTTCGGGATGTCTGAGTCTCGAGCTCGCTTCTTTCCTCTGGGGACATTGGGAATCTCCGCTGGCTCCGCTTTCCGCTGCTCAAGTTTTTTGAATTGTTCATGTGGCCTCTTTTCGTACGTCTTCTTCAGGTTCCCATTTGTAGGCTCGGTGGCGCCTTGATCCCTCTTTCCTCTATTCGCAGCCTCTCTCTGTTTTCCGAAATTCTTATTGTCGCCTTTCTTGGACCTTTTTGTATCATCGAATCCTAATTGTATGCGCTCCGTGAGTTTGCTCAATGCATCCGCTGAAAACACAGACATCTCAGAAGTTGTGGGAGGTGCGGCCGGTGTCTCCGCTTTTGATTTCGATGAGTGTTTCTTGGCCATTGCTATTCGGAGGAAAAGCAGTGCGAAAATGAAGTATTTACCTTGCTCTGGGTAGGTTGGGGCGGGCGTGCGATAGGGTGCACAATCGTTGGATTCCGATGCGTTTCCGAGGTCGAGCGCTTTTCTTTTCCCAGCAAAACACACTTTCGTCGCCCAACTATCACCGATGCGAGGAGGCTCAGAAAATTATGGGTTAGGGCTATGATACTTCTCATCCGAGTGCGCTTGTCGCGTCTGTTGCGTCTCCCCTCAGCAGACTAGCGAGTTGTTTCATGAAGTGTGAGCTGCCTCTCTGGATCTGAATGATGCTATTGGCATCATATCAACTTTATTGTCGAAGCAATGTCTCCAAGGTCTATTCAGACCGACTTGCTCCTAACTTTCCGGCCATATCTTTACAGAATTGTATCCAAACCTTCCTCATTGAAGAGATCTCTGGTGGTAAGCTCCAAAATCGCCCTCCGGGGAAAAAAAAAACTATAACTGACATGGAGTCAAAGACTGACCATAGGAACAGGATATCAAACTTCTTCATCCCCACAGGAGGAATTGCCTATGACAAAAATACCCGAGGTACTGACCGTTTGTTGCGGCTGCGATTCTGACGAAGAACCCTCCCCTCTGACAGTAATTAGTGGACGTTCATTCTACCTTGATTCGAGCAGGATACATCCGTCAGGCTAGTTCTCAACCCAAGAATCACGCCTTGCGCTCCCGATCACAGGTCAGGTGCGCTAATGCGTTTTTACATAGCCTTATTCTGGATTCTTTCATTATCTACCTCTTGGTCAAAGAGTTCACGAAAAAGTGGAACGGTTGATTGATAAACACATGCGCAGTATTGGTTAGTTTAACAAGATCTTGAATCGTTTGGCGTATAGTTGCCCACTAACACCTAAGAAAGGCGCCTCCAAACTTGCCCTTTCGACCATATCTTCAGAGGAATTGTGGCAAAGTTCTGGCAGATTGGAGAAGGGCCTCGGTGAGGTAAGAATGCCGACAGGCAAGGAACTAAATTAAATTATCCTAACACATCCCAGTTATTTAGATTCGAGGATCGTAAAGAGTCTAAATACTTGCTTTCTCCCACTCATGAGGAGGAAATTACGACTTTAGTTTCGCCCTTAGTGAAATCACACAAGCAACTGCCATTGAGGCTTTATCAAATAAGTGTGATGTTCTTGCCCCGCTTATACTATGTTGATCTAACACGAGAGGGGACAGCTCGGAAGTACCGAGATGAGAGACGCCCTCGACTTGGTCTCATCAGGGGAAGAGAGTTTACTATGAAGGACCTTTACACCTTTGATGCTACAGAAGACGCTGCTCTGAAAACCTATAGACAGGTGCAAGGTGCCTATCAGGCGCTATTCGAGGAGATTGGCCTTCCATATATACACGTGAGATCTGTGTTACTGCCCTCCTCAGAGCACTTTCTCTAACAAAAGGAAAAGGCGGAGGCCGACTCCGGAAACATGGGAGGCTCAGTATCTCATGAGTACCATTTCCCCTCTCTCTCGGGAGAGGATACTGTCATATCGTGCCCGGATTGTGGCTACTGTGCCAACGAAGAGACTGCTCAAATAACTCCCCAACAACCAATATTAGATCTCGCCGCTTCAAGGATCGCCACATTTCACGGAATTACCAAGAACCGCAAGACATTAATTAACATCCATTACCCCCGATATACGAAGGCTACTACTGATGGCGTATTAAATGAGATTCATACTGGCAGAGTTAAGAACATAATCAGCGATTTTGACCCCAGCGTCATGAAACCATTAGATCTGTGGTTTGACGCTTTCGTCGGCTACACACATATAGCAGAGGAAGAAGCCTATTCCCGCGTTGTCAATATTTTTGATGCACGCATTCCTTCCTCCCTCTACGGGAGTCTCCCTCCAAGCCGTTTTAACAACATGATCAAGAAGAAGGCCATGGATTATTTCCCAATCCCAACTATTTCGATCACTCCTGATAATCCCGAATTTGGCTCCTCACTCAATTTGTTAAAAATCCAGGGCGGGGATGGATGTCCTAAGTGCGGAGTAGGAAAACTAAAAACTACAGGAGCTATAGAGCTGGGCCATACTTTCCACCTTGGAACACGATATACAGTCCCCCTACGAGCGAATGTTCTTAATGAGGCTGGTGAATGGAAACCAATGGTAATGGGATGCCACGGCATTGGGGTATCAAGAATGATCCCCGCCATCGCTGAAGGCTATAGTGACCACAACGGGCTTTGTTGGCCCAGGGTCGTCGCCCCGTACGACGTTGTTCTAGTTTGCGGATCTATGAAGAAAAACGCAGTAGTGCCACCGAAAGAAGATATAGAAGCAGTATACGATGTTCTAGTTTCTAAGGGCTTGGCGGGTGGGACTGATGTGGACGTTATTTTAGATGATCGGGACAAAGACATTGTCTGGAAGATAAAGGATGCTGTTCTTGTCGGATATCCAATCATGTGCATCATGGGAAAATCATGGGTGGATTCTAAGAAGGTTGAGATCGAGGTCAGAAAGACGGGGGCAAGGTTGGGGGTCGAGCTTGGCAATCTGAGGACGGTCATTGAAGGTCTACTTAATGAGCTGTAGATAAATATCTATCTTATAGAATTTGAAAGTTCACTATTGAGATCTATTTTTACACCATTACGGAGGCCCAGCACCTAGGTTTTGTATATTTTACAAACGAGGAGTGTTGGGCTAGCACGCAGTCAGGGGTGAATTGGGTAGCTACGGTATCATACCAAATCGGGTAGTCATTATACCCAATTCCATAAAATATACAAAAATTAGGTGCTGGACTTCCGTAGTCTAACACCTAAGTTTCTCTGCTCTTGAAGAAGCTAAATTTAACTGGGTCAACCTGGTCTACCGGTAGGGGAAGTGAAGGCTGCTTCATGAGTACTCATTCGCTTTCTCTTGGTTCTGGGTGTTGGATATCAACATCCAGCTTACCACAGGTCGTGTCATAGAGATGTCTATATGTCATGCTATGACATATCTGAGAGAGTTTTTATGTATTTAAGGGACCTGTTTATCCCACCTGGAAAGCAGGTCACCGAGAATATACAATCTATCCCGATTGTTACAACACTGGAGCCCCTGGCTTGCTCTCACTAATCGTTAACCAAGAAGTTTGGTTACATTACTCTAGGGTCTGCACAAACTTACATCATAGAAATCTGCTTGGAGTCTCGAATAGCAAATGGGACATTAAGATCGTAAGCTGCAAATGGGACATGCAGACTTATGCGTGAGTGAGTAAAGTTAGCTGGTGTTAGAGAGGGATAATCAACATCGTGTAGGGGTATTCATACCACGATATTATCATAGTCAAGCATTGAATTTGTTTTCCTGAATTAGAACTATTACATGTCATTTAAGTATTCTGGACTCCTATAATAAAGGCTTAGGATACTCGTAATAATACTAAAGTTATCATAGTATGATATGTTCCCCTGGAGGGTTAGTAAATTGGAGGGCCAAACCTCCTAAGGTCTTGGCGGTATTAGATTACATAATAAACACTCCGTTTTTCCTAGCCTTCTCTCCATACAGTCATCCGCGTCTTCCCTACCTCCCGTTACTCCCCAGTCGACACGCCAACACATCACGTCTTTCCTTTTATCATCAACTCTTTTACCTTCCTCGTAGTTCTCAATTTAGTCGTATAGGAATAACGGGTTCAAGTCGAATAGAGAGGTTTACCAGTGGGTATTACGATCATGGCTTCTCTGCCGCCGCCGCCACCTCCTGGCTGGCAGGGTGTTTCTCGCTCTGGTGCTCCTCTTCAGCCCCCTCCGCCTGGATATAGACCGCCGGCCGATCCGCAGCAGGCGAAGTTTGATCAGAAAAAGAAGGAATGGCTGCGCATACAGAAGAATAGGTTCGGAGAGAAGAGGAAGAATGGATTTGTCGACACTCATAAAGCCGACATGCCCCCGGAACATTTGAGAAAGATTGTGAGGGATATTGGCGATGTCAGTCAAAAGAAATTTTCGGCGGACAAGAGGGCATATTTAGGGGCTTTGAAGTTTATGGTGGGTTTTTTCTCTGTCACGCTTAATCTTTCTGTTCCTGCAGGTGCTTATTTGAATGTGAATTTCTAGCCGCATGCTGTCTTGAAGCTATTGGAGAATATGCCTATGCCTTGGGAGAGCGCCCGTGAAGTTAAGGTTCTATATCATGTCAATGGTTGCTTAACCTTAGTCAACGAGATTCCTCGCGTTATCGAGCCAGTCTTTCATGCGCAGTGGGCAACGATGTGGGTGTGTATGAGGAGAGAAAAGTCGGATCGTAGGCATTTCAAGAGAATGCGTTTCCCGCCGTTTGACGACGAGGAACCTCCATTGTAAGTTGTCTCATTTTTCTTACTCTTCTTGTGGCTTGTTGACATCGGAATGGTTCTAATAGGGTTATTGTATAGGTCGTGGAGTGAGAATATCGAGGACGTTGAGCCCCAGGAACCAATTCAGATGGAGCTGGATGAACATGAGGATGCTGCAGTTGTTGAATGGTTTTACGACCACAGACCATTGCTTGACACCCCACATGTGAATGGTCCCGGATATAAGAGATGGAATCTTGATCTTTCGCAGATGGCTACTTTATACCGTCTGTCTCAGCAGCTATTGTCCGATCTTGTCGACAAAAATTATTTCTATATGTTTGATAGGAAGAGCTTTTTCACAGCAAAAGCCCTGAACGTTGCGATACCAGGTGGACCGCGATTTGAGCCTTTGTATAAGGATATTGACCCGAACGACGAAGATTTTGGCGAGTTTAATGCTATTGACCGCATTATTTTCCGTTCTCCCATCAGAACCGAATACCGGGTGGCGTTTCCGTTTTTGTATAATTCGCTCCCTAGATCAGTGCACCTGTCGTGGTATCACTACCCACAGATAACCTACGTTCGAGCTGAGGATCCCGAACTTCCAGCCTTTTACTTCGACCCTGTAATAAATCCCATTTCATCTCGCTCAGTAGCCCCGGCAAATCTCACAGTATCTCATGAGGATGAGGTTTTTGGCTATGGCAATGATGAGGATGATTTCCAGCTTCCGGACGAGGTGGAACCTTTCATGGCGGAAGAAGCATTATATACCGAAAACACAACGTCGGCCATCGCCCTCTGGTGGGCTCCATACCCTTTCGATCGCCGCTCTGGCAAGACTGTCAGAGCGGAAGATGTTCCATTGGTAAAGCAATGGTATCTTGAACATTGTCCCCAAAACCAACCTGTAAAGGTCCGAGTCTCATACCAAAAACTATTGAAAACCTATGTGCTTAACGCGCTCCACACAAGGTCACCTAAGGCACAAAATAAACAAGACTTATTCCGGACACTGAAGGGGACTAAGTTTTTTCAGACAACTACGATCGATTGGGTGGAAGCGGGCTTGCAGGTTTGCAGACAGGGGTTCAACATGCTGAATTTGTTGATTCATCGAAAGAACTTGACCTATCTTCATCTGGATTACAACTTCAATCTTAAGCCGGTGAAGACTCTTACTACTAAAGAGCGCAAGAAGTCCCGATTTGGGAATGCCTTTCATCTTATGCGAGAGATCCTTCGTCTTACCAAGCTTATCGTCGATGCCCAAGTACAATACCGACTTGGAAATATTGACGCCTTTCAATTGGCGGACGGCATTCTTTACGCATTCAACCATGTTGGACAGTTGACAGGTATGTACAGGTACAAGTACAAGTTAATGCATCAGATTCGTGCTTGTAAGGATTTGAAGCATCTGATCTACTACCGTTTTAACTCGGGGCCAGTCGGGAAAGGTCCTGGATGCGGATTTTGGGCACCAGCTTGGAGGGTCTGGCTCTTCTTCATGCGAGGTATCCTCCCATTATTGGAGAGATGGCTCGGGAACCTGTTGGCAAGACAATTCGAGGGACGTCATAGCAAAGGGGTTGCTAAAACTGTTACGAAACAAAGGGTGGAATCTCATTTCGATTTGGAATTGAGGGCAGCTGTCATCCATGACATCACGGATATGATGCCGGCTGGCATGAAGTCGAATAAGGTCAATACGGTTTTGCAGCATCTTAGTGAAGCATGGAGATGTTGGAAGAGTAACATTCCCTGGAAGGTCCCCGGTCTTCCCGCGCCAATTGAAAATGTCATTTTGCGATATGTCAAAAGCAAGGCCGATTGGTGGGTAAGCGTCGCCCACTATAATAGGGAGCGTATTCGGAGAGGCGCCACTGTCGACAAGACTGTGGCTAAGAAGAACTTGGGGAGGTTGACACGTCTTTGGTTGAAAGCCGAGCAAGAGAGACAGCACAATTACATGAAGGACGGGCCATACGTCTCCTCAGAAGAAGCCGTTGCAATCTACACTGCCGCAGTTCATTGGTTGGAGGCTAGGAAGTTTTCTCCAATTCCATTTCCTAGCGTTTCTTACAAGCATGACACTAAAATCCTGATTCTCGCTCTCGAAAGATTGAGGGAGGCATATTCGGTCAAAGGCAGGCTTAACCAAAGTCAAAGGGAAGAGTTGGCCTTGATTGAGCAGGCCTACGATTCACCTGGAACAACCCTTACCAGGATAAAGACTGCCCTATTGACTAGGCGTGCGTTCAAGGAAGTCGGGATCGATATGAACGATAACTATAGTACCATCAACCCAGTTTACGATGTGGAGCCGATAGAAAAGATAACGGATGCTTACTTGGATGCCTATCTTTGGTACCAAGCCGACCAACGCCACCTCTTCCCCGCCTGGATCAAACCCTCAGACTCTGAAGTTCCCCCCTTGCTTGTTTATAAATGGGCTCAGGGAATCAATAATCTTCACGGCGTTTGGGAGACTGCTGATGGTGAATGTAATGTGCTTCTCGAGACCCAATTGTCTAAAGTTTACGAAAAGATTGATATCACTTTTCTTAATCGTCTGCTTCGCTTGATCATGGATCACAATCTTGCGGATTACATCACAGCCAAGAACAACGTCGTCCTCAATTATAAGGACATGAATCATACAAACATGTACGGATTGATTCGTGGCCTTCAGTTCTCCGCTTTCGTCTTCCAGTACTACGGTCTGATATTGGACTTGCTGATATTGGGATTGGAGAGAGCTTCTGAGATTGCCGGACCCCCGCAGAGGCCCAATGAATTCCTTCAATTCCAGGACCTGGAAGCTGAGACTAAGCATCCTATTCGGCTTTACACCAGATATGTCGATCGGATTTGGGTCTTTTTCCGATTTTCCGCTGACGATGCTCGTGACCTTATCCAAAGGTTCTTGACAGAACAACCTGATCCAAACTTCGAGAATGTCATCGGGTATCGAAACAAAAAGTGTTGGCCTAGGGACTCGAGGATGAGGTTGATGCGCCATGATGTCAACCTTGGCAGAGCTGTTTTCTGGGACCTGAAGAATCGCCTTCCCAGATCTGTGACTACTATCGAATGGGAAGATACATTTGCCAGTGTCTACAGTCGGGATAACCCGAACCTCCTTTTCTCTATGTCCGGGTTTGAAGTAAGAATTCTTCCGAAGACCCGTAATCAAAATGAAGAGTTCCCCGTCAAGGATTCCGTTTGGTCGTTGGTGGACAATAATTCGAAGGAGAGGACAGCCCATGCTTTCCTGAGGGTCACCGAGGATGATATTGCCAAGTTCAACAATCGTATTCGTCAGATCCTTATGAGCTCTGGGTCTACCACTTTTACTAAAATCGCTAACAAGTGGAATTCGGCTCTTATCGCCCTGTTTACTTATTATCGCGAAGCTGCAATCTCGACTGAGGCATTGCTAGATACTATCGTGAAATGCGAGACCAAGATTCAGACTAGGGTCAAGATCGGGCTCAATTCTAAAATGCCTTCGAGGTTTCCGCCTGCTGTGTTCTATACCCCTAAGGAACTTGGTGGTCTGGGAATGATTTCAGGAAGTCATATTTTGATTCCTACAAGTGATAGGAGGTGGAGTAAGCAGACTGATGCTGGTATCACTCACTTCCGGAGTGGAATGACGCATGATGATGATGTGCTTATCCCGAATATCTTCCGGTACATTCAACCTTGGGAAGCTGAATTTATTGATTCTGCTCGTGTGTGGTCTGAGTATGCACAGAAGAGGGCTGAGGCCAATCAACAAAACCGAAGGTTAACGCTTGAAGATCTTGAGGACTCTTGGGATAGAGGTATTCCAAGGATTAATACTTTATTCCAGAAGGACCGAAGTACTTTGGCGTTTGATAAAGGATGGAGAGTTAGGACTGAGTTTAAAATTTACTCTATGATGGTATGTTTCCCTGCGAGTTAACCCGTTTGCTGCCTAAGTGTTAACCATGTATTTAGAGATCCAATCCATTTTGGTGGACATCTCAACGCCACGATGGTAAACTTTGGAACCTTAACGCATACCGAACAGACGTCATTCAGGCATTGGGTGGTGTTGAGACTATCCTTGAGCACACCCTCTTTAAGGCAACAGCGTTCCCCTCTTGGGAAGGGCTGTTTTGGGAGAAGGCGTCCGGTTTCGAAGAATCGATGAAATTCAAGAAGCTTACCAATGCCCAGAGGTCTGGTCTTAACCAGATTCCAAATCGTCGATTTACTCTGTGGTGGTCACCTACTATCAATCGGGCTAACGTCTATGTAAGTTTGCGAGAGCGATATTCCATAGCCGTGTTTCAAAGATTAATTATTCTTAGATTGGTTTCCAAGTACAATTGGATTTGACCGGTATCTTCCTTCATGGAAAAATTCCGACCCTAAAGATCTCCCTTATTCAGATCTTCCGAGCTCATTTGTGGCAGAAGATACACGAAAGTGTCACTATGGTAGGTTCTTGTATTTTTTCTAGTGAGAGAGTGCGTTCTAACTCTTGCTGTAGGATCTTTGTCAGGTTTTTGATCAGGAGTTGGAGGCACTCGGTATCGAGACAGTGCAGAAAGAGACCATTCATCCCAGGAAGTCGTACAAAATGAACAGCTCCTGCGCAGACATTCTGCTTTTTGCTGCCTACAAGTGGAATGTCACTCGCCCCAGCTTGCTCCATGACCAGAAGGATGTCATTGAGCAAAACGCTACAAATAAATTCTGGATAGACGTTCAATTGCGTTACGGAGATTATGACAGCCACGATGTCAGCAGATATGTGAGAGCCAAGTTCCTCGATTACACTACCGACTCTCTCTCCATCTACCCGTCTCCGACCGGTGTAATGATTGCTATCGATCTCGCCTATAATCTCTATGACGCTTATGGTCAATGGTTCCCTGGCTTGAAACAACTTGTCCAACAGGCGATGGCCAAGATTATGAAGGCAAACCCCGCGTTGTATGTCTTACGCGAGCGAATCAGAAAGGGACTGCAACTTTATGCTTCTGAGAGCAATCAAGAGTTCTTGAATTCACAGAACTACTCTGAGCTGTTTAGTAATCAGATTCAATTGTTCATTGACGATACCAACACATATCGTGTTACAGTCCATAAGACCTTCGAGGGCAATCTGACTACCAAACCGATCAATGGAGCCATATTTATTCTCAACCCTCGCTCCGGTCAGCTGTTCTTGAAGATTATTCATACCTCGGTCTGGGCTGGTCAGAAGCGTCTCGGTCAGTTGGCAAAATGGAAAACGGCAGAAGAAGTAGCCGCTCTCATTCGCTCACTCCCCGTCGAGGAGCAGCCGAAACAATTAATTGTGACAAGAAAGGGATTGTTGGATCCATTGGAGGTTCATCTTCTCGATTTCCCTAACATTTCTATCCGAGCATCAGAGTTGCAGCTTCCTTTCCAGGCTGCAATGAAAATTGAAAAGCTGGGTGACATGATTCTGCGTGCCACGGAGCCTCAAATGGTCCTATTCAATCTTTACGATGACTGGACTAAGACGGTATCCTCGTATACGGCTTTCTCACGTCTGATCTTGATCCTCAGGGCTTTGCACGTCAACCAGGATAAAACTAAGCTGTTATTGAGGCCGGATAAGACGGTCATCACACAGGAGCATCATATTTGGCCTACTTTATCGGATGATGATTGGATTAAGGTTGAAACACAGCTCAGAGATCTTATCCTCAATGACTACGGGAAAAAGAATAACGTCAATGTCTCTAGCTTGACCAGCAGTGAAGTGAGAGACATCATCCTTGGTATGGAGATAAGCGCGCCGTCAATGCAACGCCAACAGGCTGCCGAAATCGAGAAGCAGCAGCAAGAGCAAGCTCAACTTACTGCGGTTACTACAAGAACGCAGAATGTTCACGGAGATGAAATGATTGTTACCACAACCTCCAATTATGAGCAGCAGGCATTTGCCTCCAAGACGGAATGGCGCAGTAGGGCTATTGCCGCTAGCAACCTTCGGACTCGGTCGAACCAGATCTTTATCTCATCTGATGATATCTCGGATAATAGCCAGCACACTTACATCATGCCGAAGAACATCTTGAAACGGTTCATCATGATCGCCGATCTTCGCATGCAAGTAGCCGGTTACGTGTATGGTTCATCACCACCAGACAACGATCAGGTCAAAGAAATTAGGTGTATTGCCATGGTTCCTCAGATTGGAAGTCTGAACACTGTCCAGCTTCCTCACTATCTACCTCAACACGACTACCTCACGAAAGAGAACGGATTGGAGCCACTTGGTTGGATTCATACTTGGGCCCAACCAAACGAGACGCCATACCTGAATGCCTTTGACACGACCCAGCACGCAAGACTCATGTCAGCTCACAAGGAGTGGGACAAAAAGACCATCACCATGACTGTCGCGTTCAAGGCAGGATCAGTCTCGCTCGCAGCATACGGTCTCACACCCGCCGGCTACGAATGGGGCGCACAGAACAAAGATCTCGGAAATGACATGCCCCCAGGGTTTCAGACCAACATGGGCGAGAAGTGCCAGCTATTGCTCTCGGATAAGATTATGGGATTCTTCTTGGTTCCCGAGAGTGGTGTTTGGAATTACTCTTTCCTCGGTGCGAACTTTAGTACCGAGGCGGAGAAGAAGGCGTATCATGTCAAGATTGACACCCCAGTAGGGTATTACGCGGATATCCACCGGCCGTTGCACTTTCAGAACTTTGCTGAGTTGGAGGATATCTGGGTGGATCGTAGTGATAATTTTGAATAGGTGGGGTTGGGTTGGCTTTGTAAATTATGGACGGATGGGTGGTGAGTTGACGGTCTCTTTGATTCGGAATTCGTACTATTGCACGGGGGTGGCTTCTTTTGACTTATTCTTTTTGTTGTGAGCATTCTTGTTCTTGTAGCCATAGTTGTGGGTCTCTTCCCGTTCACTTTGTTTCTTCACCAAAAGGGTCGGATATCGGAAGATTAATGATGTGGAGTGATGAGGTTTTTGCGTATTCAATGAATTTCTTAGTCAATGCACAATTTTTCAGTTTCCTTTGAATTTTCAGCCGCTACCAGAATTACCCAAAGCTAGCAAGTAGTCTATCATATCCACTTTTTTTGGCCGTTCCCAATTATTGCCCAAACTTCTTGACACTAAAATCCTTACATGAAGAAAAAGAGTTCTCACCTAAAACCTTTTCAAACGCCCGCAATGCTATCACTACGGCGAGGCTCAAACATTGTCTACACTCCGGGCTGTCCGGCACCCTGTCAAGTGGTAGGGAGGCGGGGACTCGAAAACCCTGCCCATGCCACACCCGGTTGGGTCCCCCCAAGCCATCATAGCCAATAACTACTTAAAAACCCAGCAAACCACATTATTATAACTTGCACCAAAGGATTGGTACAAGTACCACTTGCTCCCCTCAAGGCGAAAAAGAAAAAGAAAAAGAAAAAAAGAAAAAAAAGTCACCACCAAACCCTTAATCCCGCCGGATTTGCAATACGCAGCGGAGCGTTGCTGGTAGCGCTTCCGGGGGTTCAGTACGAGTGCCCTCCTTCTACCCAGTGGACTGTACGTGTGCAGTACCGTACTGGGTAGAGGTCGCGTAAATGCTGGATCTGGTGCGGACTCTGCCTTCAGTGAGGGAGGTTAAGGGCGAGAAGGGGTGGGTCCTGAGAATTTGACGAGGTGCTTGCTTCGCAGTTTCTTTTCTTGACGGCCGGGCAATTGGTGTTTGGGTGGCATCATAGTTTCCTGCTTGTATTGGTGGGGGTTCGCGTTTTCGCACTGGCTAGTTTGTGGAAATCCTTGCGCGCGGTTTATCGTGGGATGGGATGGGATGGGATTCTGAGACTTTGGATGGGGTTGGGGAGGGGCAGGTTGTGGCTTTGAGCGTTTTTTTTTTTCTTATTCGAAGAGAACGAGATGAGGAAATGTGGAAAGAATAGAGTTTTGTTTCACTATCTTATAGTGTTGTGCGCCATCGTTGGGGGTGGGCTGATTGGCATGGGGGGATCGTATTTTGGGCTTATCATCATGTTATGTCACTCGTGCTGCTAAGGGCCTTCGTTAGTTACTTCTGACTGTAAAGGTATGACGGGGGTGTTTGGCCCTACAGAGATGGGAATACTATGTTGGGTTGTGGATTTCCACATGGTTCGGTTCAGCAGGAGTACAGTACCTGTCGGTGAATGCTAGCCTAAAGTAAAGGCTAGGATTAGTGGCCGGTCTTGTGCGGGGTGGGACAATAAACTCTACGGACTTGGACAAGTTCGCCCACAGCACATAGTCACTGGCTTCTGGGGGCTTTGTGGGCGGGACGGTTCGAGCATTGCTAGGTGTGATCAAGAAGAAATACCGCAGTACAAGTGTCTCATGTTAAGGTAAGGGACAAAATATTTTGCTAGAAAAAACCAAAACCAAAAAACCCTGCTTTATCATTCGCTCGCCTGTTTACTTCTCTCCCGTTCTTCCAACGCTATCCTTGTACCATTCACGATCTCAACATGCTCAACAACATGCATCCTATTCTCTAGGTCCCCCAAACTCTCCCCTTTAATCATCTCAATCTCCCTCACGATGATCGGGGTTCCCTTATCCACGGCAGCAATAACATAGTGAATCATGATACCAGTCTTTGTGATTTCACCCCTCTGAAACTCTTCGTAGGCTCGTTCGATTGCATTTGCGCCATCGAATTGTCCCGGTAGGGCAGGGTGGAGGTTTATGATGTCGACACCAGCCTCCTCTAAGGGATCGAGGGCTGTGGGGGAAAGGATGTGCATCCAACCAGCACAGACCACCAAATCGGGGGTCTGGGCCAGGATCAGCTTGGCAAGGTCGGCATCGTAAGCTTCTCGGGCTTCTTGAGGATTGTTGGGATTTTTATTTTTGTAGGCAAGGAGGTTGTGGTATGTTGACGGGATGCCGGCGTTGGCTGCCCGTTTCAGACCGTAAGCTGCCTTTTTGTTCGAGATGACGTGGATTATCGAGGCTTCGAGGGTGGAAGGATTTGCTCTAGAGGCATCAATCAGGGCCTGGAGATTAGAACCGTTGCCAGATATGAGCACGAGGATTCGCCGTGTCATTTTGGTGAAGTTTCAGTAAATGGAATATGTGTTTGCCAATGGTTATGGGTGGGAGGGGATGGTGGGGTGTTGGAAATATCGTATCTAATGCTCTGCGGTGTGAAATTGGTCAGGGTCCGGATCATCGGTGGATGTTCCGTGGTCGGCGAAAAAATGTTTCCTGTCGGCAAATTTCCTAACCGGGGATAATTAATCGCTATGTAGTGTTCCACACTATCACGATGGAATAAAAAGGTTTTCACGACTATGGCAGTGTAAGTGGAATGGAGGAATGGTTTTCGCGGGAGGTTTTTGGACTCAGATTGTTGAGCCAGGTGGCTTTTTTTTCTGATTACGCTAAGGATGTGATCATCGCCGTTATTTTCGTTTATTTTCATACAGCTAACTGCTATTAAACTACGGTAGCAATGTTCCCTCGCTTTACCTCCCTCCACACACCCAAGAACTGTCAGTGGTATCAGTATCGTCGCTGTTCGGTACCATATCGGAAGAGAGGGCGTTTGCTAATTTCATGACTCGCCGAGGACGTGCACCTGGCAGCTCGGAGTATGATAATAATATTATCATGTCGTTTACCATGTGTTCTGAAGGTTGGCGGGCCCTAAAAAGGAGCCTCTGATCCACAGTAACATCCCCCCCCCCACCACAGCCTCACATGCAGACAAGCAGAATCGTACCTCGAATAACCTAGCGGTTACGGGTGTTTATGGATAGTTGGAGGTGTTGATCCAGACACCAACCATCCTCTTTTTGTACGAAGTACACTTATCCATTCGAAAGCCGATATAGTAAAGCACTGGACCGCACACACCTTTATGTTTGCCTTTTATGAAATTAGGTTAAAAACTCATATAACAATGCCAAGGATGCTGTGAGTACAGTACAGTTGTCTGCGGAATTCACTCGTATACCTCAACGGTTACGATACCCATAGGATCAATTTTGGGTAGTTACCCTGCACAGAATTTCAGAACCTAATGGTACAGTACTCGAGTGCTGTATCATACATAGATATGGAGAATTCTTTATCCCTAACCCTTGCTATCGGAGCCTCAACTCCACCTCCAGAAACCCAAAATCACCCATCTCTTACCCCTTCCATCTCTTATTGCTTCCTATGGAACGATAGCGTTACGTACACATGGAATCAGACTGGCAGGAGGTTTGCATTCTCAATTGCCCTTCATATACCGCCACAGAGAAGTAACGGTGCGTGATGAATTTAGGTAGTGCGTATCCCGGCGGTGCCTCTGTCGCAGGTTGTAGGGTATGCTGCTGTTCCGCCTACATTGGCATTTGACACCAACCAAGAACTTTTATGGGTTGGGAGCGAGCAAGTATGCTCAAATCTTTCGTCCCGGGTCTCGGTAGATTGAATCTTAGCTTACATAGTCATGTTGCCGTTATAGGGTCGGGTTACTTCTTACTTTAGTCCCGATCTTCGAAAATATACCAGTTACCGTGGTCATGACCACCCGCTGCTTCCAGGAGATGATGCTGTGCGGAATATTCAGGTGAATGATCGAGGGGTAATATCTTTGGCAGCGAGGAGTTTGCACTTTTCTATCCGAAGGGGGCTGGCTCAATGGAACATAAAGTACGTAGCTCGAGATTATGATAAGGATCGGTTCTGAAACTAACTTCAGGCCCTCCATTGTGCCGCACCCTCCGAGTCTAGGCATGCAGGTTTTCAAAATTTATCTGGTTTTGCCTACACGAATCGAGGAACCTCCGAGATCTTGGTTGGTGGTAGTCAGAGCTCAATGTTTACCGTGAATGTGGACCGGGGAACTGTGATAGGAGAGGTATTTTATCTAGCGGCTCCCAGATGGTACCGGGGAACTGCTTTGGTGAGCTGATTCGGAGGATAGTATTCCACAGAGGATGACATAAAGGTTATGAAGAGGAATCCTAGGGCCATCGTGTACGGGACAGGAAAAGGTGATGTGAAGCTGTTGGACATGAACACTTTCAAGGTAGTCAGGGAGTTCCCACAGGCACATGGGAGCACAATTTCCGATTTGGATACTCAAGGAAATACCATCTTGACATGCGGCTACTCACCTCGGTACTTAATCCCCCCTGACCGCCCACCACTATAGGAACGAATTGTGGCTAACCGCAAGGGAACAGACAGGGAACATATCACCTCGACACCCTCGTCAAAGTCTATGACCTTCGGACGAACAGAGCACTCGCTCCGGTCGGGTTTCCTTCTGGTGCTGCCTTTGTTCGCATGCACCCTAAACTCTCAGCTGCTGCAATTGTTGCATCACAAGCTGGCCAGATTCAGGTAGTTGACATCGAGAACCCGGCAGCAATAAAGCTCTACCATGCGAACGTAACAAGCTACATTACTGCGATAGAGCTAGCTCCTAGTGGAGATGCCTTGGCTCTGATGGATGCAGATGGTTATCTCCAACTCTGGGGGTCTCCAGACAAGCTCAGGTTCACTGAGCTCATGAATCCAGTGGAGTGGCCGGAACCCCTTGTACTCCCTAATGTTGCTATCAAGGACGATTCGTTAGCACCCATACTTCCTTAGAATCATATACTGGAATGCGCTAATTGTATCCCCTTTTTAAGCCCTCTAAACTCTATTGGTATGCCTTATTACCGTGATGTGCTTTTGTCCGCCTGGCCCCCGCACGAGATCTTCAATGTCAACAAAATGCCTCAGAAGATCGATGCGGACATCTTGGCAGCCTCTGCCACGAAAACCGGATATGCCCCGTACCACAAGAGAACCCCCCGGTATTGCATAGAAAGCACCAAGCATACCGACCCCCCCGGAGCAGTTCCAAAGTTCTTAAGTCAGCAAGCAAAGGACAAAGGTTCCCGGAACTCCGGCGATTTTGACGATGGAAAGTTGCTCTATGGAGACGAGTCCAGGAGGCAGTTTGAAGTCCCGCCGGTGTTTAGAAAGGTTGAAATTAAGTATAGTAAATTTGGTGTTGACGATTTTGACTTTGAGTAAGTCATCCTTCATAGCAGAGAGCGATTTTCTGCGAGAGTAGTACTAACGGGGTGTTAGATTCTATAACAAAACTAGATTTTCAGGACTCGAGACTCACATATCAAACTCATACATGAATCCGTTATTGCAGATGTATAAATTCACACCTTTGCTTCGGAACTTAGCGCTCCATCATACGGCTACGGCATGTACGAAAGATGATTGTATGCTATGTCAAATGGGCTTCTTATTTGATATGCTGGATAAAGCAAATGGCCAAAACTGCCAAGCTACAAATTTTCTCAAAACGTTCAGCTCTCTACCTACCGCTGATAGGCACGGTGTTTTAGAAGAAGATTCATCGAGCGGCGAGCTCCTGAGCTCTATGATACAAAGCCTTAACCGATTCCTGCTGGATCAGATATCCATGGATCAGAGAACCTGGCAAAATGATTCGAGAGCGCTTGAGGAGGCGATTACGATTGGAGCCACTAAAAGCCAACGCTGTAATATCTGCGGCAAAGAGTCACGTCCTCTAGGCGACACAAATGTTACAGATATGATATACCCCCCAAAACATAGCAAGCCTGTTCAGTCCTTTTCTGCCTTGGTAAAACAAAGTATACAGATGGACACAGTTCAAAAGGGATGGTGTGACAAGTGCCAGCGCTATCAGCAGCAAGCAATGAGGAAGTTGGTGAGAAGACTACCAAAGATAATGGTGTTTAATGCTACCACAAACGAGAAAAGTCTGACATATGTTCGAGAGCATTGGTCAACTCCTGGATGGTTGCCCGATGAAATTGGTGTGCTGGTCACCAATGGCCAACTAAGTGTGTATCAAGGCGAAGACTTGATCATCATGAGAGAAAGGTGTGAAAATTTGGTGACATTTGACCTTGTGGGCTTCGTGGCGGAGATAACACCGGAAGAGAAGAGAAATACACACTTAATATCATTCGTTAATGGTATGCTCTTTCCTTCGATTTCTTGAGAGTGAACTAATCGGGATTCCTCCTAGTTGCCTTCTCGTCGACCGACAGGACCGAAGAAAGTACTTGGCACATATTCAACGACTTCCTCGTCACACCCGTAAGGAAGGAGGACGCGCTTGACTTTGCGCCAAAATGGAAGATGCCTTCCGTTATATGTTTCCAGGCCAGAGACCCTAGCAATGCCATTGACAACTCATGGAGAAACCATCTAGATACTAGCTTGTTATATATCGACTACTCCTTTGGGTATGGTTATTCAGAGCGCGAGTGGGTGAGATTGTATGCGATGGGGCTGACGAGATTGTACCGACGCAGAAGATCTCTAAATGAGCCTAGATGCAAATCTTTGGAACAGCACGAGGAGCCTAAACCAGGAACGCTAGTCGCCTTAGATGCCGAGTTTGTATCCATGCAAAACGAGGAAACCGAGGTAAAAGCCGATGGTTCAAGGTCCGTAGTGAGGCCAAGTAGGTTAGGCTTGGCTAGGGTATCTGTGCTTAGAGGGGGGGGTGTGGATGAGGGTGTAGCGTTCCTGGATGATTACATTATCACGAGAGAACCGGTTGTTGACTTTTTAACCGAGTTTTCCGGAATCCATGTGGGCGATTTGGATCCGAGCACTTCAAAACATGCTCTGGTCCCGTTGAAGGTTGCATATAAGAGGCTTTGGCTATTGCTTAATTTAGGCTGTGTGTTTGTGGGGCACGGGCTGTTGAAGGATTTCAGGATTATAAGTATGTTGAAGTCGGAGACATGTATGGAGGCTAACGCTAACACCACTCTTAGATATACATGTTCCAAAAGAACAGGTAGTGGATACGGTTGATTTGTTTGTTTTACGGAGCTCTCAGAGGTAACTAACACCCGGATTTGAACCTCTGCATACCTCTAACAATGTTGGATAGGAAACTGTCTCTACGTTTTCTAGCATGGGTAGTTCTAAGGGAAGAGATCCAACTTGACACCCACGACTCAATTGAAGACTCGTACACTGCGCTCCGACTGTACAAAAAGTATCTCGAATATAGCGACGCCGGCGTCTTAGAACCGATGTTAAACAACATTCAGATAGAGGGAATGAAGACCGGTTTCAAGCCACCGCCAAGGGGGTTCTTGGCCGAGCATAGAACAGACACGCCTTCCATAGTGCAGGAGGGACGATCAGAGGCAAATACACCGCAACCTAGGGGGGGGGTGCCGAAATGGCTTGGAGCCTAAATGCGATTCGCTTGGGCTCTGCACTGTTTATTAGGGCATTTTCGTCGCTTTTTATGATATCAATACCTTCGGAATACCCTGCTGCAGTAGTAACGTAGCTGGTTGTTTGTCTTTCTTGTGATCATATATTTCATAGCACGTCATGCTCTGTAGCTAGTCCCTGCATAGTGGCAGTTTGACTATCACTAGCCTTTCGGGTTAGTGTTTGTAGAGAGGATTCGTTGGAGATGGCATGAAATAGTTTCTAATGAGGGTAGTTTGCAAATATCACAAATTATCACTCGTAGGGCAAGACCAGCCTTGGGCAAAGTTAAATTACGGTATGCGCCAGTACGGTACCGTACACGTCTCTTCGCCCCTGAAACTGGGGGAGAAAAACGCGAAACGCTCAATCTAGTTAGAGATCACGTGACTCTAGATGTCCATAATGACAACGCGATCCGTTCGTAGTTTACTGGGTGTATTCGCACGAACCCCCCTCTCTAGCGATCTCGAGGACTCAGTGCCGAACGAATTACCTACTCGATAGCAACTCATCGATTCCTACACAAGTCTTTGGAGGTTCAAATCCCATTACCGCACGCATAATTTCAAATCCGTTCGAACCCCGCAAATGGGAACAACCGCCCACCAGCACACCACCCAAAAACCTGCATCATGAGAACTCCCCAATCCCCCAACTCTATCAGGCGGACCGCCTTAGGAGCGCAATCTAAGCCGCAAATTTCTGATACTATTACCACCTCTACTACTTCTCAAGGAGTGGGTGGGGACAAGGGGAACGGGGAACCCGAAATCAGGCTCGCATCTGCGCACTCACCGGACCCGGAAGTCCGAAAACGCAACTTGTTTCAGCAGCGCGCGTTCAAATTCTCACACTCACTACTAGTGCTGTTACTGCTATTCTTCGTATTCCTACACGGTGTTGGTCTGTTTCTGTTTACGAAAGGGTTCTTACTAACCCGGCTAGTCCTTGGCGAGAAGTCTTCCTGTGCTGTCTCCCCTCTGGGCAGCGCGGTCGATTGGGAGGGAGGGGACATAGCCAAGGGATGCTGGCATCCAAAGACGTTTGATAAAGCTGTTGTGATAGTTATCGATGCACTGCGATATGACTTTACGGTTCCGTTTGGCTCCGGGGAGGATGGTGATTCTATGGATGTGGGGCAGTTCCATAACGCTTTTACGACGCCGCACGCTCTCGCTTCGAAGCACCCTCGCAATGCGATATTGTTACCGTTCATCGCAGATCCACCGACTACGACTTTGCAGAGACTGAAGGGGTTGACAACGGGTACATTACCGACCTTTGTTGACGTTGGGAGCAATTTTGCTGGGCATGTCATCGATGAGGATAACCTTATCTCGCAATTAAAGGCTGCAGGAAAGAGGACTGCGTTTATGGGAGATGATACCTGGATGGCGCTATTTCCGGGGTTATTCGAGAAGGATATGGAGTACCCGTTTGAATCTTTGAATGTGTGGGATTTGCATACGCTGGATAATGGTGTCAACGAGCATATTTTTCCGCTGTTGCACCCGGAGAATGCTTCCCGGTGGGATGTGCTTATTGGACATTATCTTGGTGTGGATCATGCGGGGCATCGATATGGACCTGATCACTTCGCCATGAGGGATAAATTGGTACAGATGAACGGGGTTATCGAAAAGCTGGTTGGAAGTATTGACGATGACACTTTGCTGGTTGTCATGGGCGATCATGGAATGGATTCCAAGGGCGATCACGGAGGAGAGTCACAGAGCGAATTGGAAGCTGCCCTGTGGATGTACTCCAGGAAACCGGTCTTTGGCGAGTTTCCACAAGGATTGGACCCTAATGGTGGAGACTATTCCGGTCCTCCAGGCGCTAGGTCCGTTGCTCAGATCGATCTTGTTCCAACACTTTCGCTGCTGCTTGGACTACCGATTCCGTTCAATAATCTCGGGGCCCCAATAGTAGAGGTGTTTTACGGCGAGGGCGGAGTCCCCGGATGGAAAAACCTAGTCGATGTCTCCCATCTAACTGCAGCTCAAATCAAACGCTACCGAGCCGAATATTCTGGAAAGAACGGCGTAAAAGTTGAGGGGATTGAGGGGATCGATTCCATCTGGGATACTGCGTATCGAAAGCTATCCGAGGTCCAAAAACTTGGAAGGAACGCCCGGGTTGTGGATTGGCAGAATGTCTTTATAGAGTTCTCGAGCTATCAATCTGAAACGCTCCGAGCCTGCCGCCGTGCCTGGGCTAGATTCGACCTGGTCAACATGGCTGCGGGTATTACTGTGCTAGTTGGGAGTGTTGCTGTTGTGGGTGTGTATGCTCGTGCCTTCACGGGCGATCATACTGAGCTCACGGATACATTGCTCACCCGGATGGCTAAAGGGCTTGGTGCCGGAGCTGTTCTTTCAGTTGCCGATGGGGCCGTCGCTGGGATGGGGCAATTTGGGGTTTCTAGCATCGGCCAATCACTTGGGCTGTCATCTCTGCGAATGCTCCTGTTGACCGGCAGTTTGGGCACAATAATCGGCTTCTTTTCTGCAACTCACTACGCTCGAAGACGACTGGCATCCCTGCTACCGAACTCCGGCTGGGGCGCACTCTGCCTTGTATTCACCCTCACCCACTCCTTGATCTTCGGCTCAAACTCGTTCACAATCTGGGAAGACAAAATTTTGACCTTCTTCCTGGGTACCTTCGGGTTCGTTGCATTGCTCAGCTCCCAGAGACTAGATACCGTAAAGCGTGCGTTGGGAACATATCACTCAATAGTCTTCCTCCTCCTTGTCCGGTTATCGTCAATCTCACGATTATGCCGGGAGGAGCAAATGCCTTCCTGCGAATCGACATTTTACTCCTCCTCATCCTCTTCTGTCTCTGCGCCTCGCACGCTCATCGTCCTATTTATCATGGCGTTAGGGTTACCATCGATTATCAGTTCTTATTACCGCCATACTAACTCCTACTCCGGCCCGGCTCCAGCATATATCGGGTTCGGCTTCCGCCTGGGGCTTCTCCTTAGTGCGTTGTATTGGGCTCTTGACTCTGCCGATAATGGGGACTGGATCCCAGATCTCCCCGAGGGGGTATTGAAACCGCTGAAGAACACCGTTAGCCAAATCGTCCTAGCGATGGGCCTCCTCGCTGGGAACCTGGTATACGCATACTCTTCCGTATGTGTGGCCGTCCGTTTTGAATATCCACTCGCCAACCAACCCACCACCTCCTCCGATGGTGACGGTGAAGACATAGTCCCCCCCTCCCAGAGCTTAAAACCCATCGCCCGCATCGTTGGCACGTCAAACTTGCACGGATCCCGCTACTTTATGCTGCTACTATCCTGGTCCCTGGCCCTAATCCTCCTTCAAAAGCCCATGGGCGGTGCGTCAATGGGTCTCCTCCTGTGGCAAATCCTCTCCCTGCTAGAACTCCTACACACCCTCTCCCTCTCGGACTCCGCCATTGGCCCCGTAATCCTGGGGATCCTGGGAAACTCCCATTTCTTCTCCACAGGTCACCAAGCCGCACTCTCCGCCATTCAGTGGGAGTCCGCATTCATACCATTCTCAACAATCAGATACCCTTGGTCGCCAATGCTTGTTATAGCGAATAGCATCGGCCCACAGTTGCTCACCGCCTTGGCCGTCCCACTAGTAGTACTCTGGAAGGCGCCCCCAACAGGCACGGAGACGCTGGGCAAGACGGCTAAAGCTGTGGCTACGCATACATTATACCACTCTGCGATTACGCTCAGCGCTGTCGCGTGCGCTGGGCACCTAAGGAGGCATATGATGCTTTACAGGATCTTTGGTCCGAGGTACATGTTAGGCGGGGTGGTGTTGCTGGCTGTTGATGCGATGGTTTTATTGGTGGTTATGTGGGGGACTAGGGTTAGTTTCCTGAGTGTTGGGGGGTTGTTTGGCTATTAGGTTGTTGTATGATGGTTGTTTTTTGGCGAATGGTGGGAGGGTGGGCATTGATGGATATTGAACAGTGGGCTTTTTTCTCTTTTTTTCTTTTTCGGGATGTTTTAGAGATATCGATAGAGTCACAATTCTTGCGATAAATGGTAGTGCTATCATAGAGTGTGTGGGTTTTCGTCCATTTCGGGGGCGTGAAAGCGGAGCAATTGTCAACACGAGTGAGCGATGTGGGGGGGATCGAGCACTCTGATGTCTGCGTTTTACCTCGCCGTGCTTCTGGCGAGATGCTCAGCCTATCTGGTTGATGACCGCTATAGCCTGTAGACTAAGCCGCCCTGGTGCCTATTGTTGATCCATTTGTTCGGGAAAATTAAATCTGTGGCATATGATGTGTGTGATATGATACTTATTTCTTCCTTCCGTCCTATCCTCTCCAGTGTGACCACAATGGGGAATCAATTGCTATCATGGGCCAAGTGCTAGGGGTATGACGGAAAAAAAAGAAAAAGTGGGTCCTCAAATGCCAATTAGGCTGTACAGTACAGTATGATACTGTACTAGTACAATAGGTATCATACAGCTTTGAAGGACGAACCTACAAATAGAGCGGACTATTTTCCAATCCTCCGGAGAATCTCTTATCTCATTCAATCAGTTCCTTCCTTCAAAGGAATGCATTCTGCTGTTTCGAAATTATTTATAATCAAGTAGTAGGGAGGGGCTGCCGTGTAACGGAATCTTATGATCGTTGTACTTTGTACAGTACTGTACTACTAATATTATACTACCGCTACTACTACTACTACTACTACTACTACCGCTACTACTACTACTACTACTACTACTACTACTACTACTACTACTACTACTGAATACCGCTTGTGGTAGTGGGGGGAGAACTAGTCTTGGTGTCGGTTATTGGCTTTTATGTGATACAACTTATTTTTATTTATCCATGATAAATCTACCGAAAGGTTGTAGTTAGTTATATTGGTACCGAAGTTTGGGAAGTGTGGTCGTGTTGGGAGCGAGGTCCAGTTCCCATCACCACGCCCCCCCCTTCCCCCCAAGCGACCATGAAACTTGTTTCGTTCCAAGTACCGAACTCTCTAAAAATGACAATGTCCGCATAGTTCTGGCTTGTGATGCGAAGGCACCTACTCGCGGAGAGACGAAAGATTCAAGTACCGGATATGTGCCCTTTTTGTGGGTGAGAGAGAGAAGGAATGTCTGCTGCGGGAGTTGTTAAAGGGGTCTCTCTGTCTGTCTGTCTGACTTCCTGCGTTGGGATTTGGATTCAAAGGCTAACTTAACTTAGTCTACCTCTGAATTTCATGGACTTGGAGGCACGAGTAATTGAACTCCCCAAGCTAAGCGATCACTCTTGGCGTTTGAAGCGGTTGACGAACCAACTTGAAAACACTATAAGATACACAGCAAAGGCCCCAACTGTAGACCATCTTGTCTTACTCAAGGAAAGTTCATTGGACGGAACGCTGCTCCCGGCTGCGATGGAGAGGGCAATTGCGGCTCAGGGAGATGACTTTCAGTTTGTGTTGGGAAAAAAGGAAACTGCCGGCGAGGGTTTACGGTAGCGGTACTGTACTTGTAATTCTGTGCAGAATTCACATTTTTCCCTGTGTTCACCATTACCGGTACTGTACTGTACTCGAGTGCTGTAGATGATGGTACTTGGTAACTATTAGTATGATACTACAACCTCCCCCACCGTGGGGACAGTTTTGAGTTGCATGCAGGATAGGCGACCCGAAAGTGGTTGGCCAGCCCTATCATTGATTCATTGATGCTTCGGTAATAGTCGGATGGGTCAGTAAAAGTAAAAAAATGGAAAAACTAAGAGGGAGAGAAAAAAGAAGCAGGGATCAGAAGGGATCGAGAGATAAGGTTGTTTGGAAAGCTCAACTGTGTAACTGGACATCTTAAACAAGGTACGTTGTACGTCGTACAGAATGATATATATCTCCATCATGTCGAGTAAAGGGACCAATATAAAACGAACCGGGGGGGTTAAGAAAAGTGTGGAGTGTAGGTGAGAAAGAAGAGGAGGGTACGGTTTGTTCTAGCATCCTGGGGTTCTGTTATTGGTTTCACTGGATTCTGCTCCCCTCCTACACACACTCTCTCTTCCTCTTCCTCGTACTACGGGTTCTTGGGCTGCCGATCCCGACCCATGCTTTTACAATCGGTCATCAAAAACGCGCCCCGAAAGGATGACAGAGTGGGGTATATTGCGTCAGGTTTGTTTTGTTGCATGATACTCAAAGGGAGGGAGAGAACGCATCGAGATTCCGCTGTCGGGAGTATCGGGTTTGCGATGGCACTGTAAGCACAGAATTGCAATCAAGGCTATACAACTTGGTTGGCGCAATGTAACCTATTCCATTCCAGGGGACGGTACTATATGTTGGATGGTCTACAATATATATGATGCCGGAGGCCTCGCATCCTCTTGCTACACCATCCTCCTATTGTGCCCTTGTCTGTACAGTACGTAAATCGTCACTACCGCTCCTACTAAGCAATCTCACTACCGCCCTTGCAATTGTACTTTCACCACCACTGCCTCCAACTCTCTTAACCTTTCAATAATAAGGATATCTTTCCTCGGACCTCCTACAAATTTTGTTTCATTACTTTAACTGACAACGCTTGTCAAATGGCTGGAGATAAAATCGGCACAACCGCCAGAACCGCTCCAATGGAAGGGGCGCATTCTGAGAACTCTAGCCTTAAGGCGGGTTTGAATGTTCCTTTGAGGCAGAATACCCCCAGAAACTGTAGGCTTAGCCGTCTCGTTGTTCCAAGTGCTTTGGTATAGCTAGGATATTGACACTTGGCTTTTACAGATGCTCTTATAATGGTATGTCCTGCGGGTTCAAGATGAATGGGCTTGGAGAATTTACGTTACTGATATCGCCCTGCTCTGTGAAGTGTGGAGAATTTCTGGGTATTTGATTTTTGCACTCTACATCACATCTGCTTGTTTTTCAGGATCAACTAACTCGATGTTTTACAGGAACCTTCCTATTCTTTTTCCTCGCATTTGGCGCCACACAGGCGGTCAAGATCAATTATTCTGGAAGCGGTCCTCCTCCCAAAGACCCTACTGGTGCTGTCCCGACACCGGAGCTTTTGCTCTACCTAGCCATCTGTGCTGGGTCTGCCCTTACCGTCAATGTTTGGGTGTTTTACCGCGTCACCGGTTCATTCTTCAGCCCAGCCCTCACTTTAGGATGTGTCCTTATCGGAAAGGTTCCTCCTCTCAAGGGTGCCCTAATGTCTATTACTCAATTGGCCGCGGGGACCGCGGCCGCAGGTCTCATTAAAGTACTCATACCGGGAAAGTTAGCTATTGGGACGAATCTTGCCCGTGAGTAGGCACCTTTGTCTGCCGTACCGTAGTCCCAGGATTTAGGCTGATTTCAGTGGCGACAGCGGGTGTCTCTGTCGTCCAAGGGTTCTTTATTGAGGTCCTCTTGACGGCGCAATTGATGCTTGCGTTCTTTTTGGTATGATAGGAAATTTGGTGTTTTTGCCCCAAGTCTCTCCGATCAGGGTAAAATGCTTACACTATTTGTTTCCGGTTATCAGCTTGCCGTGGAGAAAGTATGATCACTCATCTCAGACTATTTGCCCGCAAGGTTTTTGTGTGATGAAGGCTGACTGGCTAGTAGCATCGTGCGACATATATTGCGCCGGTCGGTATCGGACTTTGCTTTTTCGTTTGTCAACTCTTTGGTGCCTATTTCACTGGAGGTTCGCTCAGCCCTGCTAGGTCCTTTGGACCGGCGATCGTTATGGGCGATTTCCCGAGCTACCATTGGATCTATTGTAACACTCTCAATATCCTCACGAAACTTGGGCCACTTCGCTGACAAGATACCGCACAGGGGTCGGACCTTGCCTTGGAGCAGCCCTCGGGGCGGGAGTTTACAAAATTCTGCTCTTGGTCAATTACGAGACGCTCCACCCCGGCCAAGACGACGATGGGCTTTCTATCATCCGCTGTGAGGTTGGCTGCGGGGGGGATCTGAAGCTCGGGCAAACTCAGGGTGAAGGGCGGATAATTTCTGGCCCGAGAGGGGCATCCAAGCCAGCCGATGAGAATGTTTAACAATGATGACACTGGCACGAGCGACGATTGCTTTTGTTCCCATTACCATTTCGGGTTGCTTTTGCAACCATCTCCTTTACTTATCTGTCTTTTTCTCTACACTACTTTCCTTCCCCCTCTCTATCTCCTACTCACACCTTAAGAATTATGGTTATGTCTAAACTAAAATAAACAAAAGAAATTATGGTAAAAACGGGGGGCTCGGAAGCCTTTATAGTTGAGCTAGGTGCCGCAGTTAGCACTACGTAAACCTCCCTTACCTCCCTGCCACGCAGAGTACGAAGCTTGAAGAATATCATTTGAGTCCCAACGACCCAATTGGGTTCTCACCGGTTCACGAGCCATCACTCGCAGGGAAGCATAACTGCCGGTTCTCACCTTCCTGCCCCACTCCATGTCGCGGGAATTAGTCACAAGTCACCTGACTCTATTCCGTATTACCGGTGCCCGTCCTCCCAGAATACTCGTAGGATTCGGGTGGCCTATGAAATCCCAGCGACATGAGTTACCTCGCAGTAGGATACCCGATCCTAGAAGAGCTCCTCATTGCCAGAGGAAGAATCTCGGCGGGCCAACACTGGCATAAAGTTCAGTATGATAAAATAGATTAGGGGAATATCCGAAAGCACCTATTCTGCCCCCCGTGCCCAACTCCGAGGGGAGGAACTAGATTAATTTACTGGCGTGCACCGCATGTGTGTTCCGCGAAAGAGCATTTGAAGCAGTACTATGTACAGTACAGTACATACGGGAGCACACTTATATTGTGGATATTGTTTTAAAAACATGAGGACATCTCTAGATTTTTTTCCCCTTCGGGAAAACTTCGTTTCTCGGAGGGCTGTGTTTACTTAATTGCTAGAGAGTTGGTTGGATGGGTGTTTGCCATGATACTGTATGATACTATAGGGAGGAGGTTTCTATTTAGAACTACGGGGCGGGCAGTGTGTAGTTTTCATATGGTGATTACGATTATGATTTTTTCCACAGGAGCGGTTGGAGGGGGATGTTCAGGGTCTATTTTATAATAATAATAATAATAATAATAATAATAATAATAATAATAATAACAATAATAACAATTTATCGATCGTCGGGATGGATTTTCCGAATGGGAATCCTGCCAGGTTTCTTTTTCCGGGAAGGAAAGCTTTTGCTATTTCCACGGATCGGGGAAGGGCTGTGTGATAGGGTGGCAAGTGCCGTATCATGGTTTATACTGAGCGATTCATCCGGACTCACTCGACCATGGCGTCGGGTATGATACTGTTTGGTGCGATATGGGTGCTGGTGAGTGTGGGAAATGGCGGGTATCATATTTGGAATGTCGGGGGAAATGTCGGTTTTGGTCAGTAGATGGTGAGAATTGTATCATGAGGAAATGAATGGGAGGAAAAACCGGGGATGGATGGATCTCTTGCGATCGGGGGAATATACGGATTGGATACAAAAGAACGAGCACGAGCACGTTCAACAACTTGTGATAGCACCAGCAAGAATATCATCTTGCGTCCTGTGTATGATAACCTCCCTGTCCATCTGGTGCTGCTAACGTAAACTCCCAATTTGGGGTTCGTCCGTGGGTGTGTATAGTACCCAACCCGTCTGGACCCGGCCATTTTTTCCCCAGAAGAGGGGGATCATGATGCATCCCCGTGTAACATTATTTACCTTGCTTCCCGAGCCCGTGGACGCCCGCCCCATCACACTGGACCGGCCAAGACAGTTACCGGTAGAATGAAGTAAAACAAATAGCTTTTGCGGCTAATTCTCAAGAGTTAGCACATATCTTATTGTACTGTACTGTGCTCGTAAAATAGTGCTAATTATCAAAATTGTCTGCAAAATTTTAATTTTTTTTGTCGAGTCCACGCTATGATTGTAGGTATCATATCATACTGTGCACAAAAAGCTTCTGTGAGGGTGCAGCTATAGCATGGGGGAAGAAGGATCTCATGGGAGTTAAACCCCCGAAGAAAAGAAGAAAAGAAAAAAAAAATCAGAGCCGGGAACTAAACACTGCCCTGCAGGTACTCACCAAAGTGAATATATATATCCTGGTAAGAAAACTCCTCACGAATCCACCCGATCTCCTATGATACCACCGAAACCGGCCCATAGAACCGCACCCCCCGCTGTGCCACCGGTACTTGAGGATCACACTCGACAGTGCTGCACGATGGCGCATTCGGCAAACAGTGTGCAACCGAAGCCATTACACCACCCAGGTACAGTACCGCCCAACCGGCACATTGCCAGACGGCACATGCCTTGCGTCTTGAGTGGGCATCTCGAGTCTTTCGACTCGGACGACGGACTCGAGAATGGTGCCGATGGGAATTGCGTTCGTGCGACAGAGGTGGCGATTGGGTGTGTCACTATCCAACCCGGGGGGCGAACCCGGTCACTCCCATGAAGCAACGACCACTTCAGTGACCGGGCGTGATTGTGAGATGCTCGGTTTGTGTCCTTGTGGTGTTGGAATCCGCTCGGGCTGTCCCAAGTAGGAAGGCGGGGAGCGGGGTCAAGAGGGTTGGAGGAAAGGTCCTTTGTCCTTTGTGCTCGGGTATAGTGCACGGGTGTAACTTAAGGGTAGACTATTTTGCACACAAGTCCTCGCACCAAAGTGTTGCTCGAGTATCATACTGCACAAGTACAGTACAAATACTGTGCGGCTGGTAATCCACTTCTCCTTTCAGAATTGGTCGCGGCTTTTGTCAACCCCTAGTGCGAGTACTGTACTTGCAAGAATCGAAGGACCGCTTAACGGCTCAGAACATATGATACAATATCTGAATAGCTCATTGTTTTGCTACTCAACGGTACAATTTCATTTCATCCTGTTTTGTGATTGTCATTACATTTTGATGTAAATTGTGCTTCAGCACGTTGAAATAAGGTGGCGGCTAAGTTAGAGTGAAACATTCAATACTTGTACAGTAAGGAGGGATCCAAAACACAGCACGCCTAGTTTTGGCCATGAAAAGGTTCAAGTGAGGGCCTTTTGGTGCGAATTTGAGACAGGTTACTAAGAGAACCCTTATTTCAACATACTCGTCACCGTATATATGTGTTTTCAGAACAGTATGTTCCTACTCCCATGGTTCGCACATGGGTAAAAACTTGTTATCATAATCAGCTTACCAATGCAGTGCCTCGCAGTCACTCGTAACCAGTGACCCAAGCCCGGCTTGATCACAGCCAAGCATGCCTCATACCGGTGACAAGTATGGGTGGATAAAGCAAAAGAGAAGAGAGGGAAAAAAAGGTCAGCTTCCCTTATATCTCCCCCCGATTTGAAATAGCAGTTGGAAAATCGGAATTCTGTCGTGTGGCGCATAACTGTTTGCCCGAGAGTCGGAAACATAATGATCTGAACGAGGGAAACCATGGATATTAGCACTTTTACCTTTAAAGCCACTTATTTTCTCAAACAGGAATCTGTGTGCTGGGTGAGACTAATTAGTATGAATAATACTTCACGAATGGAACAACATACATTCCCCTCACAGCCAGTTTTTTTTTTAGGGACTACGATACCTCACCCCCTCGCAGTATTCGTTCCCGCCCACCCACGCACTGGGGGAAGGGCAAATTTTTTTAAATACGAAATGTGAATAATGTCGTGGAAGGGTAAAGATGTTGGACTTGACTTTTCCTTACTAGTAATTTGGTGAATCGCTTTCGGACAGATGCAGTGAGAGATATTATATCACCATCTTTCGCTAAGCAAATCCAGATAATAATCCACCATTGGAAAAGCCGTGGTGCGACACCGATGGCCAAAAATGGGGATAGCCAAGCACACGGGATCTATATTACTTCCTGGAAACAAAACGGACAAATTAGCGTAGAGCGAATCAGTACGACCAGGGTAGCCTAACCCCACACTCGCCGCTCTCACAATCCAACCCCACCTCGAGTATTGTGCTCACACCTAGTATACCATCTCCACCAACCCCTCAACAACTTTCCTCCCTCCAAAGTGCTCACTCCACAGTAAATTGAAAAACCGCAAGCAGCGCTAACTGGAAGTCCAATGAGGTATATTAGGGGAAGGGAGCAGAGAAAAATAATCAAGTTCCAAAGCATTTCCCATTTACCCTCTATGTGATACGGGTTTTCTTCAAAGATCTCATTGGTGCCGTAGTATCCTTCGACTATCTGGGGAGGAACTTCTTCAATGCCGTAAGCCATCTCAAGGAGATCCTTCTGAAGCCTTTGTATAGCCCGTCTGTACCTGTGCCCTCCATAGCCCCCCGGTATTTCCTGTCCCGGGACAAAAGCGTCGGGGTCAATGCTCAAATTCCCCTTAGTAATACCTCCCTAGAAAATCTGCTTCCCTCCTCTTGCTTACTTATTTCCAGCCCATGGATGAGCTCTCGGAGAGCCTGCCCATCCATCCTTAATGGCACCCTTGCACAGAACATGTATCCGAGGATTTCATGAGGTATTGTTATCAGCGCCCTAGTGTCTCCGTAGGGGCCAAGTGTGGAGCCCCGGACATGCACTGTAAGTCCATCATCGGGGTACATGGCGGGAATGTTTACCTTATGTCCGAAGACTAGCATCTCGATAATCTGTCCCATCTCGCCAGTATGCGGAAACAGCATGTGGAATTCAGGATGTATAGGGTCCTCGAGGAAACCTCTAGGCTGAATGTACCAGCGGAGTTTCCGGGGTGTCAAGTAATCAGGGCGGAGAGGGGCATTGATATGAGTGTTCAGGTAGTGCCCCATCTCGTGGAAAAGAGTGCAGTACATCCAATAGAATATATGAGCGATTGGTTTGTTCTCTCTTTGATTTTGCTCGATCAGGTCAAATTGCTCCCCACTTATTTCAATTCTATCCGACGTCAGCCAGCGGGGGTGGGAACCAGTCATATGATATACCCCATTCCTCGCTATGACTACCGTAGGAAATCCAGTCGCAAACCAATTCAATAATAGCTGCACCTCAGTGGGTGTCGGGGCTGGTTCATCCCAGATGTTGTCGGGGCC